GGGACCTACCGTCACCCAGGTGGGCACCAGATCACATTTGTTCAAAACAAAAATGAGATGCTTCCAGGGCTTCTCCTTCTTCAGGTAGGCCTCCACGTGAGGGGAACGGGTCCCCATGGGATCTCTGCTATCCAAGACTTGCACAATGACATCTGATGAATCGATCACCTGGCGGTTCAGAGACAAAATGAGAGATTTAGTGGATTGGGGAAGCATCCAGGAGGATTTCCACGTTTTAACTCTTCACCATAATCAAGTTCAAGCATTTCAAACTACGCAGTTGAGCAGAATTGAACATATCAAACTCCAGGCCTATTTTAACTTTAACTTGGAAGAAACTCAATGCTTTTGGTCTAGAGATCAGGGAACCAAGCTAGAAACCAGGAAATGGTACATCCCAGTTCGGCCTTAGGCGTGAAAGCCAGCTGGGCAATTTTGGGCCACTCACTCTCTCTTCAGCCCAATCCCACCTCGCGGGGGAAGATGGGAGGAAGAACAAGTACTGCATATGCTTGCCACCTTGAGTTATTTATATAATAAAGGAGTGATAAAACTAATAAAAAAGCAAGCAAGCTAGTCCAGGACACCATGGTAGGAACAGCTTTCCCATGCCTCAGTCAGAAACATTTGCAAGAACAACAGTTACACAGCCACAACCCCCCTTTCGTATACCTTGTAAAGTTCTCCCCAGATCCGCTTAGACTGTCCTTTTTTGTAGATTTCCTCTTGCGCCTCCAGCCTGAAAAAGGGAACCTGAAGACTCAGCCACACAAAAGCACAACCAGGCAATATGTCAACAGATGACTAGATAGCAGATTCCTTTTTCCGTGGGAGAAAGAATAACCCATCCTTACAATAGATTTATGCGCCCAACATATTGTCTCTTTTTCTCACAGAATACTCTTTCACCAGCTGAACCATCCACACAGCAGCTGCTGTGGCAGCTCCTCTCATGGTGCCCTATTTATCTTTTTCACAAATAAAAGGGCATTCATTTATTTGAAAGTTTTATTCATTTTAAATGCCAAGTCTCAAAGAGCAGACCCATTGCCCGTGTCCCTTCTGTTGGTTCTATGTTAAAACCATGTTAGTCGTAATCAAGTAAAACAAGCATTTGCAGGCGTTAACAAAGCTGTCTGGCAGATGAAACATCGCTTCATCTGGAAGGGCAGAGAATATGGCAAGTCCCCTGGACAGAATGGGAAGAAATCAAATTGGGTGGAAGCAGAATTAATATTCATCTGGAAAAACAAAAGTCGGAAACTCCAGCCAAAAAAGTCACAGTGGCCAATGGTGACGCATTTAACACAAGGCCAAAAAATCACTCAGGTGCTCCTAATAACTTAATGTAGCTGGAGAATTTAAGTGAGTAGGTCTTCGGGTGGACGCTGCTGGTTTAGGGAAGAACCCAGCAACCCCAACCCCATAAAGGTACTAACAACCTTCCAACTTCAGGGGGAAAATGCATCACCCTGCACCCTCCCTCCCACACCAAACCGTATTTCTAGGGGCCAGTTCCAATAATATACCTGACTCCAGTATCCTCTGTCACCAGATCCCGGTCTTTCTCTTGGCTGTAGTTGTTGGCCTCAACTATGGCATTTTCTACCAGAGACTCCATATCACTTGCCAGGAGATTTGGTCGCTTCCGCTGTGATTTTGGACCAAAGGTTGTTTCAAAGGTTTCTGTATCAAGAAGGTGGACTTTGGAATTCTAAAAGAAGAAAAAGGGCCCATCTCCATCATCCTGGCTCAAAACAAGCTGCTCAGGCTCAGCTGGAAGAATTACCCCCCCCCCCGCCGAGCTTTCCCCAGAGAAAAGCTACAGGGCCATAGCGACACCACTCCTGACCCAAAGCAGGCTAGGCTAGCCAGAGTGTAAACGTCCTTCCACTGTTACAAGAAGATACCGCTGTTCTTTGCTGACTGCTTTGTTTCAGCCACAGATGGATCTCTCTCTCTCCCTCCCTCCCTCCCTCCCTCCCAACCTCCTTCACCCACACACAGTGGTAACACCTGGGTCAACAGGACAAGCGTATCACTCACATGAGGCTTAATCCGATCGTGGAGCAGAGACAGGGGCAACCTGCTTTGTTTCATGACCACTCGATAAGGATCCTTCATCACCGTCTTCATCTCCTCCTGGAATCTCTGGAGAGAGGACTGCTTGATCACACGCGTGTTTCCTACATAGAAAGGATGTTCCAACTGTTGGTGCCTGTCGTAGCTTGGATTGACAGGACACAGGAAACAACACAGTACTTGCACCAGCAGCCCTCTCAGTCTCTGATTCAAATCCAAGAGCAGAACCCGCCCAAACTGCCCCCGTCACAGCAGGCTTACCAAACCACTTAATGTTGGGCTCCACGCGGGCTACGGTGCCTGGTGCCACTGTGGACTGGAACTCAAGTGGTCGGACCAGTTGCCCACGATTGTTCCTGTATAAAAAAGAGCAACATGGGAGCCTTGACAGTAACTGGCTTGCTTACAATCTTCAGCTTAAAGCGGCAGCTCTTTAAGAGAGCCCCCTTCGCATGAACAAGGTCCTGGCCCTCTCTGGGTAAAGCTGACAGAAGTAACGATGCACCAGCAAAGACATCATGGAACCAGATGGCCTAGCCCAGGGGTAGGCCACCGTGGCTCTTTTATGATCCGTGGACTTCAACTCCCAGAATTCCTGAGCCAGCTATGCCAGATTCACTTCACCATCAACTTACTAACAACTTCAGTGATTCACTGAACAACGGTGGCAAGAAAGGTAAAACGGGGAAAGACCCACGACGAATGTCTCGCTTAGCAACCAAAACGTCGGGCTCAACTGTGGTCGTACGTCGAGGACTACCCTGTATTTTGCTGGATTACGAGCCGGTCCACCTGTTAACGACACCGGGCACCCGAAGGACGGGCCGGCGGTCTCCGCCTGTGCCTTTTTTTTAGCTTGCTGGGTAGGAAGAAACCGGATTCCTTTGATCCGGTCTGGACCCGAGGCCTAGCCACTGCCCGTCTGCCCACGGAGGCGGGCGGAGGACTGGCAGCAGCGCCCGAGCGCCCCGGCTTTCCCACTCACCGGCGCTCCCGCTGCCGGTACATGTTGAGGCGGCGGATGGTGGCGCGGTCCCGCATGTTGTGGCCTCCGGCGCCGGCCGGTCGATCTGCGGGGACAAAACGGAGGATCAGCGCCCGCCGCCCGGCAGAGCCCGCGTCCGCCGCCCGCTCGCCCGCCGGCGGCTCCGCTTACCCGGGTTGCTGCTGGAGCGCGACGGGTTGAAACTGGCGCGGCGGCGGCCCTGGAAGTGCGGCTTCCCCATGGCGGCGGCGGCGGCGGCTCAGAAATGCCAGAGCGGCCGTCAACGACTTCCGGAAGAGCCCAGGCGCGCTTCCGGCTGCCGCGAGCGAGACGCCGCGCCCGCGTGACGTCACGCCGCGTCACCAGGAGGCTGTAGGCGCCCGCGGGCGCCCATAGGCAGTTCGGGGCCGAAGTCGATTAATTACAGACTAAGAGAATAACAGAGTTGGAAGGGGCCTTGGAGGTGGTCTAGTCCGACCCCTTGCTCAGGCCGGAAGCCCTATACCAGGGGTAAGCAACTTTGGCTCTTTTATGACTCGTGGACTTCAACTACCAGAATTCCTGAGTCAGCCATGCTTTTTTGCAAACTGCTCAGAATCACTTTTATAAATGTAATCAATCCATCAAAATAATCCACTCAGCTACTGTGTAGAATCCATTTCAACATCTTCCTTATGTAGCCACCCAGCTATCTCCCTCTGAAAAACTTGGAGGAACTGTTCCACATTGTAACAGTTTTAACATTTCATGCTTCTTTTGGGACCTATTGGGGGATACATACTGTATATACTGTATATTTAGTGAAGATCTGCTACACATATATTCAAATATATTACTGCTGATCAAATGACCATATTAAATTCACTTACTAAAAAAAGCAAAAGGATCAGGAATTGCACTGTAAATTAAGTTTCTATCTGCTCAAATATCCATAATTTGGTGCAAATCAAATATTTGAGTCAAAATGGCTTTACCTGCATGCCAACTACATTATTGGTATACAATAAGAATTCCTGATACACCTTTCCGCAAAGGCGATGGCATGCTTACTGTGTACAGTGTTTATTGGTTCAAAATAAGAAAAAAATGACAGGTGCAAAAGTGTGCACACTTCTGCAAGACACTGATCTGAAACTTAAGTCCAAATCAACCATAAAGCACTTACAGGAAGCAAGGAAAGAAAGAAAAAAATGTTTTGAAATGTCCTTTACTCTCCAGACTTGAATTTAAAAAACCACTCCCTTTTCATGTCCTTGTAATCCCTTCATTTTGGTGTAATTGGGGCGATCGGATGGAGCTGAGTGTTTACTGGCCAGATGCCTTTCCTGAGGCCATGTGTTTGCAGCAGATATTTTTTCTTTGCACCCTAAGAAGGAAACATCTACCGTTACCTAGGATCGAAGTCTCAATCTTCTGAATGGGAGTTGAACTCCTTCACTAGGCTACCACACTACTCTTATTTCCACTTATCTTATCACCAGACCTGAATATTGCCAAAAAAAACCTGTGGGGACATCTCAAATACGCGTTGCATGCAAGAGCTAACAATAATAATACTGAATTAAAAGTTCTGTAAAGAAGAGTGGGAAAAATATCCAAAAGGAAGGATACTCTCTAAGCTGATTAAGTGAAGTGTTTGAAAGATGCAGTTTCCACTAAAGGAGGTATTCCAAACTAATGTCTGAAAGAGTTTCCCAGAAGAATTACATTACTGTTTTGGTAAAAATAGGTGCTTGGTTTTGCTTACAAGTTGAAAGGAAACACAATTAAGCAGAAGGCAGAATTTCTGCAACGTATTAATTAGGACCTGCAACTGCCATTAAAAATAACAACAATCTGGTAAATTACTTCATCGCAATGTGTGTGATTTTACAACTTCACCACTGGACACAAATAAATACATTTACTTGTATTTAATTCAGAGAAGAAATACTTATTGAGACAAAAGATATTTATTAATAACTTATCCCATCCAGACATGACCCCCCCTGGCAGAATACAATCACCTGTGAAGAGTATTAAAGCATCTGTTAAGTCTTTAACAAACTCAGATTGATATTTTGAGTAAAGAACAGAGTCTGAGGCGCTGGAACAGCTGTCATCATTAAGAAAATGGCATTTACATGCCAAAACACAGACGACCTACAGGAAGATTCACAGAAAACATTTCATCACATGGAAGGTGTTCCTATGGAAGGAAGTTTCACATGTTGTTAAAAATGAGCAAAATTGTTTGCAAATTCCAGCAACCAAAACCCATCCTGTTCCATTCTTGTCAAAGCAGAACCTATTTTTTTAAAAAATAAAACGACCCTCTATGCCAGGGGTTCTCAACCTTGGCAACTTTAAGACGTGTGGACTTCAACTCCCAGAATTCCTCAGCCAACAAAGCTGGCTGAGGAATTCTGGGAGTTGAAGTCCACAAGTCTTAAAGTTGCCAAGGTTGAGAACCCCTGCTCTATGCGATCATACAGCTTCAGGAATGAAATATCGAACGAATGCTAACCATACTAGCCATGGCGGGGTGGAAGGGAATCACTTGGGGAGAGGGTAAAGCTTTCTCCTGATCAGTCCTGTCCCACTCTAGCGGATGATCTTCATCTCCGTTCCCTAGCCGAGGGAGCTAGCGCTGCCCGTAGATGCTTCAAAAATCAGTGTAACGATGCGTGCAGGAACTGAGTCAAAGGCTTGAGAAGAGCCCAAGATATTTCAAAGAATTCTGACGACAATTAGAGCTAGAAAAGCAGATAAGCGCTTTCATTCAATGGGTTTGTTAAGGATATATTACTTTTTTCAGGTATTACCACAAAACCGTGTGATAAGTCACGTGGAATGTGTTGAGTGTGTACTCAAATAAATTATGGAATATGCCTGAGTTTCAGAGCCCCTCCAGCACATCGCTGGCTGCTGAATCCTGAGACAAACAGGGAAGTTCCCACCTGGAGGAGAGGCTGCCTGCCTGCCTGCTAAATGACAGCGAAAGCCGCCACTCCGAATCTTGGGTTCCTCGCAGTCATTCTGGGTGTCCGTATGGACGCTGAGGACCAGTCCACAAGGCAGACTCCTCTGGCTCCAAAATGAACGGCTGGAGTCGGGCAGCCCTCCCTCCCTCCGTGCTGCTGCTCCTGCCCGATCCAGGCGCAGGGTGAGCAAGCAAGCACCAGCTCATCCCGACTCAGTCCTCCTTCGGGGCGCCATTGTGAGCCACTGCTTTCAGACCGGGAATGCTTGCTTGATGGCCGCAGGGGCGATGCGAGGAGACGCCCACTTCAAAGACCTCGTGGATGGCCTTGCGGAAACAGTGGAAATTGTAGTCTATTAAGCCTGCAAAGATTAAAAAAAAGGGATTGGGACGAAAGGGAAGGGGAGACGCCAGTTGGGAAAATCTCAGAAAACGAGAGGCATGAGATATGGGAGCTTTGCAGACTGAAACGTATCGGCCCTTTTCTGAGCGCAAAAGTTATTACTGGGGATTGTAGAAGCTGCTGTTTGTGCTGCTGATCCACGACGGTAATAAAGATTGATTGGTTGACTGAACACAATGAAGCTCTTTTCTTACCTTTGCGTTCAAAACTTTCCTCTCGAAGGATACACACCAAGGCTAGAAATTTTGTCACTTCTTTTAAATATAAAACAGTTGTGTTGTTGAGTTTAATAATTGCCATAGATTCCTCGTCATATGCGCTACCGCTGCCATCTTCTTTTAACCTAGAGTTGGTTGAAGGAGAAAAGACTGTTCAGCGTATCGGAGATTTAGACTGAGCACTTAAATTCGAGGCAGCTCAGATGTCTCATTTATATTTAGGCAACCGAACAGGACTTTAGAACAAATTTAATTCTTTTACACTTTACAACAACTTCAGAAATGTATAGCTGCTTTTCAGCTTGGTTGATCTACCAATATATTTAAACATCCTTATATTAATATATAAAGTCAGCTTACCGCAATACTGATGACCTTTATTATTTTTATTTATTCATTAAATTTACATGTTGCCCATCTCATCAATTAGGTGACTCTGCGTATCAATCATACAGTATTTTGATGCAAATACTTGTTCTGTGATCATGATGTGAGGCATACCAGGGTTTATAAGGACGCTCGCTCAGAATCATGGACAAAGTTTTGTTGGCAAAATTATGCCAATAAGCAAGGCGGCACAGCCTCCTCCACCTTCACTATTTCAAGATTATCTTGCATTTCCCAAAATATCCCTGAACTGCAAAAGATCTTAAGTAGCTAGAAGTCACTAGCTTCTTTCGAGATGGTTGTTTCGTACTTCTAAAGGATTTGCTTACCCATATATGCAAGAAACATCAATGACAACGTCAATCATGTCACAACACAGCTCGTAGGACTGCATGTCAACAGGGGAGCTGTCGGTTGCAATATAGATCTTGCTGACAACGTCAAAAAGAAAAGCTTTCTCAATCCCCGAGTTCTTCAGGAAATGGAAAGACAGGTTTACGTTAAGATTACATCTCACAATTACCCACATTTGTCCCACAATCTATTTCCTTTTGTTTATTTTGCAATACTTTATTGTATAAACCAAGGAGGTAAAGTACCCACTTAATATAAAGCAAGTATTGATCACACCACCTATTTTAATAATTTTACTATTGTCCAATCCAAATCTTCAACGTACAAGATTATTCGTTTAAATGTCTACTATAAACCAAATCATCTGTTTAAGCTCAGCACGATTGAGCAATCTCCAACCCACCTCTGCTCTGGAGGCAGAAGCTCTTCCCAAGATCTCTGGGTGTCAGTTTCACCATCCCCTAAACGGAAATCCCTCATTTGTTAACTTTCACGACATGATTTGCCCTGCAGACATGTGGAGTAATTCACTGCTACTCACTGATATAAAGATATTCAGCAAGTTTTCCAAAGTGGGCAACTGTGGAATGAGCTTCTGCACCACTTTACTGAAGGCCTCAAATATTGAGTGATCGTAGATGCTGGTCAAATAAAAGCTAAAAAGAAAAGAACTCTCATTAGTTACCTGAGTGCTTTCACCTATTACCTGCTCTTTGGCCCAAATAATCCTACCACTGATATAATTTCCCAGAAAAAGTAGAATTGCTAACCGTGACAGCATTTCAGATTCAGAAAAAGTATATTCTGGGCTTTGGTTGTTCCCTTCCCCACCCCAAAATTGGTGCTGACTCATGAAAGAAGGGTGCAGGTCATTAAGTGGAGCATGGGGTGCCTGGGGGGGGGGGCTTGGAAGCGGAGCAGGACCCCAGGCCTGCCTGGCCTGGCCCTCCCAAGGCTTCCGCTGCTCCTCACCACACCCCAACTTGCAACTGGTAACCGCCATTCAACAGCATGTAAGAAGCTACAGAAATGCCACTTGCCTAAGATGCAGCTTCTCTAAGCCAGCATCGGCCAGATCGTCGTTCGCTCTCTGATGGATGTCTCTCTGCGTTTCAATCTTATGGTCGTCCGATAAGCCATCCACTTTATGAATAAAAACTTCAAAGTTCATTTCTGGATTGATTTTGTAAGCTTTGGAAACGGTGATATGGAGCCTGGTTAACGCCTCCATGTAGTCGTCCTGCAAAACAAACGGAAGGCCTGTTTTTCCCGGGTGAGTTTCATTCACCGGCCCCGTGAACACCTGCGAGGCGGCTGGGCCAGGTTTAGCCCACCTCCCAAGAGCGGCTCCGACTGGGGGCCTTCCTGGGGCCCTCCGAGGCCAAGCGGACGAGGCCCAGCAGCGCTGCCAGGTGGAAGGAAGGAAGCAGCCGGGAGGGAAGTCCAGGAAAGAGTCGGAAGCGCCGGCTGCATCCTCCGCCCAGCTGAGCGCTTGATGCCGTCCCAGCCCAGAGGCCTGGGGGGGGGCTGGGCTGCCCCTCCGCCTGCAGCCCCCCCACTTGGCCCTTCCCTGCCCCTCCCCCACCTGGGCGTCGATGACGTAGATGAGGGCGCCGGTGCCGCGGAAGATCATCTCGTAGTCGAAGGCGGGGTCGAAGAAGTCCATCTGGCCGGGGAAGTCCCAGATCTGGAAGTTGACGAAGGAGCTGGCGGAGACGTCGTCCTTGTGGATCTTGGTGGTGCTCTCCAGGAAGAGCGTCTCGTTGGGGGACATCTTGTGGAAGACCACCTGCCGGCACAGGGCGCGCGGCTCAGGCGGGGCACGCCGGGGGGAAGAGGGGAGGAGTGGGGGGGGAGAAGCCCCGCCGCCCCCGGGGAGCCCCGCCAGCCCCCCCCACGCAGAGCCCCCCGCCCGCCCGCCCGCCCGGGCTAGGCCGCCGCGCACCTTCTGGATCGAGGACTTCCCGCTGCGCCGCAGCCCCATCAGCAGGATGCGCGGCTGCTTGGAGGAGTCGCCGCCGCCGCCGCCGGGCCCCGCGATGCCGCCGCCGCCGCCCGCCAGCTCGGCCCCGTCGTCCTCGCCCGCCAGCTCGTCCTCGTCGGCGCCGTACCCGAAGTCCTTGGGGAAGGCGTCGGCCGCGCCCAGGCTGTCCGCGGGCAAGGCCGCGCCGGACAGCAGCTGCGCCGGCTCCTCGACGGCCCCGAACGGCATGGCGGCCATGGCGAGCCCGGCCCGAGGCGGACGCGCGGCCGATTGGACGGCGCCGCGGTGGGAAAAGTCACGTGACCCCCCCTCGGGCCCGCCTCCGGGCGGCTTCCTTGCCTGCGATGTCGCGGGCGCCCCCTCCGGCCTGGCGGTGACAGGACAGCCAGCCCGGCCGAGCCATCTCCGGCCCCAGGACGCTTCGCCATCGGCGCCCGCCAGAACGGAGACGGGAAGAGGCCATCCGTACCTGGCTTCGTGTCCTTCGTGTTTTCCAGGCTGCACCCTCTCCCAGCCCTCCTTAATTTCTGCTTCTTTGCTTGTGGGGCATATTAGTGATTTACCCTCTGTTTATCAATGCAGAAACAGGGACGTTTCTGACTACACTTCTGACTGTTGCCCTAAATACTCTAATCCAGAGTCTGCAGATTCAAATAAACCCTGAAGCCCGAACCAAGGTCAGCCACAGCCTGAGAGGGACCTTGGCCACATCTTCCAGCTGGATGGATGGAGCCACCCCGCTTCCCTCCTTTGGTACTGTCTGGACGTCTAATCACAGGGTCCCAGGCACCATTTTCCTCCAGGGCTCAACTGGGTGCATGAGGACGTATAGTGCCTATCGGTACAGATACACTACAGATAGTCCTTGACACACAACCATTCATTTATTAACTATGCAAACTTACAATGGCACTGAAAAAAGCAACATGATTACTCACATTTCCTGGGAAGGGAGGGATTTTTGACAGCTCAATGTTCCTTTCTGTATTTACTAACCTGGGAACATTCCAGAAGGTTGGGAGGTTAATATTTCCCTTGCAAAAAATAGCTCACATTATAAAAAGCCGATGCACCGAAGCTCCGCTAAAGGCACACCCAGCCGGAGGGGAGAAAGCGGTAGCAGTGGCTGGTGCTTCATTCTGTGCCTTTGCCTGAATCTCAGCTCTACAATCAAGAAACTTGGATGACAAATGAGTTCTACAGTAAAATAAATATAACGTTTATATGATATCATTTACAAACATTTATTATAATCAATCTAATCAAGCCCACTCAGCAGGCCCTTCCTTCAGGGGACTCGCCCAGAGGGGCCACTGGGAAGGCGGGGTGGGGGGAACAGCGCTTCTCCGCCAGCCCGGCTTCCCTGCTCCCCGGGAAGGCCGGGCCCACCAATGGTTCACGGGCTGCCGCCTGGGCGAACCCCGACTCAAGGCTGCTGGAGAAAAGGGGGCCACAGAGCCGGACGGCCGAGGGGAGCGCGCCGGGAGGCTGAAAAGGGGCAACATCCGCCTGTCTTTCTCCACCGTAACTCTTCCCTTCGTCGCATCCCCGAGGAACCGATGCCCCTCCGTGCGCCCCCCTCGCCCGCCCTCCCAGCGGGGCGAGCTCCGGGTCGCATCCGCCGCCTCCGACCCGCTTTGGCGACGGGGCGTCTCCCGGCCCGGGACAAGGCGAGGCCAGGGAAGCGAAGGGGTGGGCGGGGTGGAGCGCTTGGCCGGCCCTCCTCGCCTCGCCTTTTCCCGCTGCTGCGCCGGCGGAGCTCCTGGCTGACGCGCCCAGGTAATCGCTGCTGGCCGCGGCGGTAGCGGCAGCGGCGGCTTCCCTCGTCCCGGCCCGGCCGCTCGGCACCCTCTCCGCCGCCTCGGGTCTCCCGCCGTCGGGACCGAGCTCCTCTCCGGAGCCTGGGACTGGCTGGATGGACGGCGTCGGTCCCCGAGCTGCCCGGGCGTAGCCGACGAAGCTCCTTCCTCCTCGGCGCACCTGGGAGCGGCCGTTCCGCGGCGCGTCTGAGCCGCGTGCCCAGCCCCGCTCGGCCCGCTCCTCGATCCCTGCGACTGGGGAGTGATTGGAGTGCGGCTGCCCGGCGGGTGCAGGCAGCCCTCCCGGCCGCCCGGGGCTGACGGGGTCGCGGCGCTGCCCCCGGGACCGCTTCGGGCCGCCCGAGCAGCGATGCGACCTTTTGCTCCCTTCCTCCGGCCGCAGGCGGGCTTGGCCTCCCGACTCTTTCCGCCCGGCCGGCCCCTCGTCCAGGCAGCCTGGCGTTCCCCGGGTCTCCTGTGGCCCTGGGATGGGACGGGCGGACACCACGGGCCGCCTCCGCCCCCCTCCTGGCTGGGCTGAGAAGGGCTAGGGCAGGGATAGGCAACCTTGGCCCTTTTATGACTCGTGGACTTCAACTCCCAGAATTCCTGAGCCAGCATAAAAGAGCCAACGTTGCCTACCTCTGGGTAGGGGACCCCGGGTTGGGTGAGCAAGCCTGCAGGCTGGGAGCCCCCCAGTAACTGCCCATCCAAAGAAAGGCCACCCCCAGGGAAGAAGTGGCCCAAGTGCTGCCTGGCAGCCTCTGAGGCGCCTTCCGAGTGCGTGGAGAGCCCGGGAGCATTGCCCCAGGGCTCTAGAGTGGATCTTTTCTTTAACCAAGAGGACACAAAGCTTTTTTTTAAAACATTTTTTTATAAGTTTACATTTCATAAATGCTTGATAAACAATGTGTTGTCTGGGTCTTATCTTAATAACGGGTAATAAAATCCTAATCTCTACCTTCCCGTTTTTCCAGCCATTGGTAAAATACATCCCATATTTGGAAATACACTGCATCTTGGTTTTTTTTAAATCTTCAATGTGAGTCTGTCCGTTTCTGCACGCTCCTTGATCTGCTGAGACTTGGGAAGGGTTGGGGAAGGTTAGTGCTAACTCCAGATGGCACCAGACAGAGAGTGCTGAAGGTGCCCCAAATCCTGCCTTGCAGGCAGCCGAGAGCCAGTCCCAGCCACTGCAGAGGCTCCTTCATGACAGCCCCTTGAAGGGCTGGGCCGGGGGCAGCATGGAGCTTGAGCGGTTCAACCTGGAAGATGCCCCAGACACCTGGCGGGAAGAGGAGCCTAGCGAGGAGAAGAGCAGGTGCCCCTGGGTGAGGTGCAGCAGCGTCCACAATACCGTCTCCAAATGGATGCTCCCCGGAGAGGCCAGAGCTACTTACTTGGAAAGAGCCAGCTGCATTCCGCCACCCGTTTTCATCCTGGCTATCAGCTTAGCTGAGGTAAGAAGCTCTATGCATTTCTAAATCTGCATTTCATGGTTTTTACCATTGAGGAAAAGTTTCAGGAATTGCTTGTTTAATCTAATGCGTTGCTAAGTTTGGAGACCCCTGATCTATAGAGTTGGTTTTCATGAGCTCTAATTCCTTTTTAACTAGTGTTATTTTTAAAGAAATCATCATAGAGCTTTTACTTCTCATTTTAAGTGAATGTTTCATCAGTTCCTAAAAAAGGAACTTGTCGACTGAAAGGACCTTTCCACAGGAATCCTCACCTGGGCTTTCTGGTTTAACTGCTTCACAAAAGGCACTTGCTTACTTGTTTTTCCCCAAATGTAAGACTGTCTCTTTCATCCCAAGAGAAACAAAATAAAATGCCAGAGAAAATCCTGTGAAGGAATGTAGTCATGTGGGTTTCTCAGAATAGGAATATTTTTAATACAGTATTAATATTGGGCTGTTTTAATTATATAGATGGTAGGTTTGAAAGCTGTTCAGAATTGATGGAGTATTGGAGTCGTCTATAAACCTAGTCAAATAAATAAGTAAATAAACTGAGCTTTACGAAGATTTCCTGAGAGAGAAAAAAGTTGCAGAGATTCCTTTCTTTTCCAGCAAAGTGCTAAGAAGGATAGTTTTCTGTGAGATGCCAAGCAACTGATTGCAGGCTTCTTGGGACCACAAAGCCATGGACCTAAGGGCGTGACTCAAAAGGGCATTGCTGAATCTCTACCCAAAAATCAGTGTCAAAGTCTGCTTTTCAAGATTGCTGAAAAATCCCTGCTTAGAAATATAACTAAGAACAAAGTGACTCTTTCTTCCTTACACTCCCAGTATCCCATTTAAGTGTTTAATTTTGATAGTTTTATACACAGAAGGAAACTTTAAAAGACAGAATAAGAACCAGTGGGTGAAAACGATAAAGAAGTGAACTCAGATATTAAAGAACTTTCCTGCCTCTGAAACATGATTTTCCCCATGTGAAAGAAGTCTTCACAGGAGGGATAGCCATCTGTTCAAAATGCTTTAGGTTTGCATTTCAGATTGGCCTAGGTCACCTCTAAAGACATCTGTGATTTTATGAGAAATAAAAAAGAAATTATGTACCTGATTTAAAAAGGGAGAAAGAAAAAAAAGTATCAAAACATATTATCATATTTAAAACAGACACTTTGCTCACATGGAATAATATTGAGTGAACTTTGCATTTTACTCATTACCAGATCAGAACAGAGAATCAAAATCACGCCATTAATTCAATCAGGTATGGACTGAAGGGTTTTTTTTTATTTCCAGCTGTCAATATTCATTTATTATGCTGTTTGGAAGCCCCAGACTCAATGGATCACGCTAGAAATGGGAATCTGGGAAAGTCCACTTATTTACAGGCCTGAGAAACGAAAAGAAGCCTGGAGATTTTTGTCTTACATGTTTCTGCATGCTGGGTAAGCAATCTGTTATGCTCATGTTGATAGGTGCTAGATGAGGCCCTGGGCATGGCTTTGTTATTCTGCTTTGCTTTCCATTGGGACTGAAGCTGCTTTATGGCTTTGGGCTAAGAACACACCTAGAACCCGTGAAACCGCTGCGCTCTAATTGTATTTAATTACTTCACTGCCACTTACGTTGCTTGTCGTATTCATATAATTATGCAAAACACTGAATATTTATATATTCATTAAATTTGTATCCCATTTATCATTAAAATAATCTCAGTGTTCTTTTTTCTGGAGAAGATAAGTATTCATTTCAAATTCACCTTTCCTTCTGCAGTGTTGAACATATCATAGGGAACCTTGTTCTCCAGCTGTGCCTGGGAATTCCCCTGGAATTAGTTCATAAAGGACACAGAGTTGCAGCCGTGTATCTTGCTGGAGTAATTGGAGGTGAGTCGTGCCAAAAAAAGGCTTCGTAGCAATTAGCCCACTTTTCGATACAAAGCAGCATGAGAGGAATAGCCCGTGGAAACGCTGGGGCCTGGATGTGAATCAAAAAACATCTTACATTTTAACCTG